CTGGGCGGTGTTACACAAACGGACCCTTATCAGCTCCTCCTCCAACAGGACCGACAACTGCGCCTCCTGCAGGCTCAGGTAAAAACACTGCAGTAGAACAGTTCTGGTGTCCACCGTGGTCCAAGTCCAGTGAAGATCCCCGAGTCTTTGGGTCTGTACCAGGACCATGTGAGAGTCCATGGTCCTGGTACTGTGTGTGAGTGGACATGTGTTCTGTCTCTGCAGGTCCAGATGCTGTTGGAGGCTCAGGCCAAGATTCAGACCTCCAGGCAGCAGGAGGAGCCAAAGAGCACCAACAGCGTTGCCGTGGGGACAGGTGTGTGTGTCTCTGTGTGTGTGTGTGTGTGTGGACTAATACTGGTGATGTAACACAAGTGTGAACTTTTAAAGGTTCCAGTCTCTTCTGGTCTGACCCGCTCCATGAGGCTGAAGCTCCGCCCACTTCCACCTCCTTACCTGAGCCCTGTGTTTCTGTCAGAGGAGCAGAGAACTGTGACATCACACATCCAGCTGCTCCTGCCTCCCCCACTCTGCAGCTCAGGTGAGAACATGTGATGACGTCACAGTGGGGGGGGTGACGTCACAGTGGGGGGGGTGACGTCACAAAACTCTTTTTTTGTGTCATGAACTAAAACTTTCGGATGTTACTTGTTGCTACATGTTTATGATGTTGATGTTTATGATGATGTCATCATCATGAGTCAGTGTGAATGTGCTGATGTCATCATCATGAGTCAGTGTGAATGTGCTGATGTCATCAGTGGTGTCTGCTCCCACAGTGGCTCAGCTGATCCTCCTCAGAGTCCAGAGAGTGTGGGTCTGGTCAGACATGAAGACCAGCAGAGCTTCTACCACAGTCTGATGGTAACTTACACACACACACACACACACTCACACTTGTATGGACCTGACAAGCCCATATCCCCCCCCCCACTCCTTCTTCCATGTCCCCAGACTCAGCTGACCAGTCGTCTCCAGGAGTCCAGAAACAGACAGGAAGTTGATGAGGGGGAGGAGCCCTGTCACAGGAGGAGGAGTCTGTCCACAACTCCAGACTCCGCCCTGTCCTCATCTTCATGTTTGAGGGGGAATCAGCTGGAGGAGAGGGAGGAGGTGAGGAGGAGGAGGAGCCTTCCTGCAGAGGCTGATTCTTCCTCTTCGTTAAGAAGGAATAAGTGGGAGAAAAAGGAGGAGGAGCTCAGGAGGAGGAGGAGCCTGTCAGGGAGGTCCGTCTCCTCCTCGGTGTCTGACACAGTGGTCGGTGCCACCGTGAGGCAGCTGCAGCAGCTGGGGGTGGACGTGGACGGAGACGAGCTGACGGAGTCGTCGAGACGGCGCCTCAGAGCCGTGGAGAGTGCTGGGTACGTCCTGACCTGCAGCCACCAGGGGGAGCTGCTAACACCAATATGTCTTTGATCTACTCTTTACATCCAAATTATTCATAAAACAAAGAACTGAGAAGAAGCTGAAAGTCCACAGATGTGAGGTCACTGAGTGTGTGTGTGTGTGTGTGTGTGTGTGTGTGTGTGCAGGACCCTGGCCAGCATCAACCCTGCGGCGCTGCTGTCCACTCTCAGCGTGACAGATCCTACGGTCAGCTCTCTGTTTCCTGGCGCCAGCGTTGACCTGAGTCTGGAGGCCAACGCCATCGCGCTGCGTTACCTCAGCGACTCCCAGCTCAGCAGGTTGTCTCTGGGAGGCCACGCCTCCTGCTCGAGCCCCACCCCCTCCTACGGCTCCATGCTGTCGCCAAGCGACATGTCTTTGGCCACCAGGAAGTACATGAGGAGGTATGGCTTGATCCAGGAGGAGGAGGAGGAGGAGGAGGAGGCAGAGCACCAACAACGGGAAGAGGAAGTGGAGGAGGAGGAGGAGGAGGCGGCCCTGAACGTCAGCCTCCTCCAACGGAGTCAGCTGATCAGAGAGCTGCGGCCAAAGATGCAGGTGTTTTCCAGAAACATCACAGCTAACAGCGCTAACAAAGAAAACTGCCCCAGCGGGCGGCCATCATTAGTGAGGGCGAGCAGCCGGCAGTCGGAGGCTTCAGTGGGAAACATCCTGGACCTGAGTCGCCTGAGGCAGCTGCCCAAACTCTTCTGAAGCTGAAGCTGAGTCTGAGGCAGAGAAGCCACGACAACAACGACAACAACAACGACAACACGCTGCCTCCACACCTGTCACAACAACCGTCCACAGGTCCACACACACACACACACACACACCTGTGGTCCTCTGTGCTAATTCACTCGAGACAAACAGCACTGTGATGAGGTCACATGATCAAACACAAGTCAACACACATGAATATATTCACCTTCTCTGAGGACTGATGAACAGGTGTAAGATCAAGTTAGCTGTTAGCCGTTAGCTGTTAGCCGTTAGCAATTAGCTGAAGAACCAAGTTTAGACAAACTGATCAGAATGAAGTTTTAAAAACGTTGTTTTTTCATCGTTACTACAGTGACTGTTAAAGATCAGGTGAAGCATCTATATTTTTACTTTATATTTATAGTCGACTGATGTGTGTATTTTATATATGTGCGTGTGTGTGTGTGTGTGTGTCAGATGATTTGGCTATTTTAGACCCCACTAATAAACCCTGGTCACTCTGAACACACTGCTCCACTTCGACGTTCTTCAAAGATAATATTCTCTGACATTCAAAGGAAAACTTTTCAAAGTATTAAAATGTATTATTATTCTTTTTACCTTCTTCTTTTTCTTTCGGCTTTGTTCCTTTTTTCTCTCCAGGAGTTGCTACAGCAGATCATTGATTTCCATCTGTCCCTGTTCTCTGCATCTCCTCCTCTGACTCCAACTATCTGCATGTCCTCCCTCACTGCATCCATATATCTCCTCTTTGACCTTCCTCTCTTTCTCCTACCTGGTAGCTCCATCTCTAACATTCTTCTACCAATGTGTCCACTGTCCCTCCCTGGTCCTACAGACATACATTTATGTCTGTGTGCGTGTGTGTGTGTGTGTACTAGGGCAGTCTAAATGACTTGTTGAGGACGATGACTGGACTGTAGTCTCCCAACAGGTGAGAAACACTGACATCTACAGGCTGATATTGGTCTGTCTGTTCCAGCAGTATACAGAGGCTTTGTCACATCGAGGACAAGGCTAACTGGCTAAACTAAGCACAGCTAGCATGACATATGTACTGTGTGTGTGTGTGTGTGTTAGATCTGGTCACTTTACTCAAGTACTCCATTGGTCGACTACCTTTTAGAGTAGGTACAGTTCTAGCTTTTTGTATGTATGTAACAGGCTGTGAGCGCCCCCTGCTGCAACGGTAGTATTTGACTGTCTGCAGTGACATTAGCACAGATTGTATTAGCATTTGTTTTCTATTTTATTTATTCTTTCATTTGTTTTATTGTCGTCCACAGCAGATCAGACCATTGTCAGACTCCGCCTCCTCACTTTTTATTGGTCACTCATGAATTTTTCAGCATTTCTTTTGAAGGAGAGGGGGTGAGGGTCCTCATGGGACATGGAATTCTCATTAAACTTTCACAGTTTATGAATAAATGCAGATGTTGACCTCAAATGACCATATATGGTCAGAGAGGAAGAAGAAGAGGATCCTGTAGCAGCAACTGTTAGCATCAGCTACGTTAAATAAACAGACATCAGGGGAAAAGACAAACAGACAAAAGCATGAAACACTATAAATAAAAAAAAAAAGGAATGCCAAATAAAAGATGATGAGTTTTATTTTTTATTTAAACAGTGTAAATATGGACTTTGGTCTGAATTAAAATCTCTGATTTTCTCCATGGACTTTGGTCTGAACTAAAATCTCTGATTTTCTCCATGGACTTTGGTGTAAGGAGGGAGAGCGATGGGGAGAGAGAAGCTCCGCCCCTCAGCGGCTGCAGAAAAAACTAAATGGAACGCTCCTCCTGCAGCTGCATTTAAACTTTGACTCCGCTCCCCGTCTTTGTTCGTCTGATCCTGGTCCAGAGAAGAGACTGGATCTGAATGAGACGAGCAGGGTTTTGGACCGAGGCGTAGAACCTGAACCAGAGTCTGCAGCAGACGGATCACAGCTTGGCTCTGGGTCCAGAGAGCGGAGCGTGGTTCTGGAGTCAAGAGGACGCACATGGACGGAGGTACTGAGGATCGACAAGAATCAGAATCCTACTGCGGCCCAAGGACGCGATCCTGGACCTCGGTCTGACCTGGAACTATGAAAAGTGCTGGTACTGCTCCGAGTTCTGATGGAAAAAAAGAAGAAAAAGTTTTTTCAGAATCAATCGATCGTCCAGGAATATCGATTATCGACTAAAGACTAATGATCACACGAGACGAGTTCTGGTTCTGCTCAACTTTCCCTGTGTTTGGGGGAGTCCCGGTTCTGGTTCTGCACCGGATCCTGTTCCTCCTTTTAGCCTCCGTCCAGGTCCTTGTTCTGATCCTGTGATTGTTCCCGGTCCCGGTTTTGGTTCTGGTCCTGGTGTCAGCCTGGATGTTCTCCGTCCTCATGCAGCCTCTGCTGCTCCTCATGTTCTGGTTCAGCTCCGCCCTCTGTGATGTCATCGGTGACCGCCACGAGGTCTACTGGAACCGTTCAAACCCCAGGTACTGGACCTGGTCCGTCTGTGTGTGTGTGTGTGTGTGTGTAGTCCAAATGTAGGTCACACACATTCAGTGACGTCATAAATGTCTGAGACTCCAGAGAAAAAACTAAAATAACACCAACGTCAACAGAGTCGCTTTAGCAACGTCAGCAAATCTGACACGGACTCTGACGGAGTGGATCTTCATCCACCTCAGATCTAGGACCTGGACCGTGTCCTGGATTTGGGCCAGACCTTCTGGTTTTTAAATGTCAGCGTTTTTTCACTTTAAAATGATCTTCTGTTTGTTCTGGAAACTATTTGTTCATTTTTTTTAATCTGAATTTTTAAAAAAAACTTAATCTCAAACCTGAATTTAAATGTATTTTATTTTGAATTACAACTAATCCAGATTATGGGTGATAATCTAATCCCGAACCTTCACTTGATCCTGATGTTGACATCAGAAATCTGAGTCTCCTCCTCTCCTCTCCTCTCCTCACCCCCTCCCCTTCTGTCTTCCTGGTCTCCTCTCCTGGTCCTCCTCCTGCAGCAGCTGCTCCTCCTCTTTATCTTCTCCGTCTTCAGCGTCTCCATCATTTCCATAATCTGTGTGAAGGTCTTCACACAGATTTCTTAAAGACGTCTCCACCTGCTTAATCCTGTTAACTCTGGAGACTCCCCCTCTCCCCCTCTCACCCCCAACACTGCTGCCATCACCAGACCATGTGGTGAGAAGACGAAGATCTGAGTTCAGGTGGAGGACGGCTTTGTGGGAAGTTTGTGATTGGTCTGAACTAAAATCTCTGATTTTCTCCATGGACTTTGGTCTGAACTAAAATCTCTGATTTTCTCCATGGACTTTGGTCTGAACTAAAATCTCTGATTTTCTCCATGGACTTTGGTCTGAACTAAAATCTCTGATTTTCTCCATGGACTTTGGTCTGAACTAAAATCTCTGATTTTCTCCATGGACTTTGGTCTGAACTAAAATCTCTGATTTTCTCCATGGACTTTGGTCTGAACTAAAATCTCTGATTTTCTCCATGGACTTTGGTCTGTGAGCTCTTAGACTTCCACTGATTTCCTCTGTGAGGTTTGGTCAGGAACACTGTGGGACCCAGAACCAGGGCTTGAGATTCTGTTCTGATAAAGAAGAGCAGTGACCTCCTTCCCAGTGTCTCCTCCCCTTCCACCTCCTCCCCTCTGGTTGATTGACAGGTCTTATAATCACATTAAGCCCAGGGGTCACATGACCCACGAGGGTGGGAGGGAGGCTGAGTCTGTGTGACAGACAGAGAATGGGAGGGGTCAGAGTGGACTGGATGGGTCAATGATCTGGGCTGAGCTGGGCTTGCAGGGGGGGGCATGTTTGATTGACAGCTGGAGTTTCTTTAGCTTTATCGGCCGCTGTGCCGTCTTTGGCTTGTTGGTCAGATTCTTCACGTTTTTTACGATGAGTTCTATTTTTTAAAGGTTACAAGGAACATTGTTCTGAGGAGAGACCACTGTTGGGAGAGGAGGGGCTTCCTAACTGG